CTAGGGCAAGGTTCCCGCAGACACTCCCACCCTACTTCCTCCAGGTGACGTCTTAGGCTGCCATGTTAATACGCCCTTGTGGGCCCATAATGGCGCCGCTTGTAATGTCACTTAAGGTGGTGTTAGTTTTTAAGGCCTGACAGAGGGGGAGGGAGGGTTAGTGAGAAACTGATAAATGGCCACAAAAAATTATTATGTTGTATAATTACAAATGTAGTAATTATCCTGATTTGAAGATCACATATTGAATACTCATACTGATATTGAATACTGTACCCCACAGATATGTACAATCAGTTATGTTTCATGTGAAAATTTAAAAAAAAAAGAAAGAAAAACTTAGGACTGGATAACTTCATGGCAAAATTCTCCTAATATTTAAAGAAGAATTAACATCAATCCTTCTCAAACTTTTAGAATAGACTGAAGAACAGGGAATAATTCCAAATTCATTTTGTGAGGTCAACAATACCCCAATGCCAAAGCCATACAAGGGCACTACAGAAAGAAAAATATAGGTCAATATCCCTGAGGAATACAAATGCAAAAACCCTTTTAAATACTAATTAATGAAATTCAACAACACATTAAATAATCATTCACCATATTTAGTCATTTTTCTATCACTTTTAAGTTCAAGATTCTATAAAGCCCGTGAACATGGATACAATCCAACCCTGTTCTTTGCTGGCTTATAACAATGGTGACCTTTGCTCCAATTTCCAATAAGCTTCTCCTCATTTCCATCTGAGACCTCCTCATAATAAACTTCACAGTCCATATTTCTATCAGCATTTTGGTTACCACCACTTAATCATTCTCTCAGAAGTTACAAACTTTCCGTAGTCTCTTTGCTTTCTTCTGAACCCTCACCAGAATGTAGGCCTTTTTTTAGGATGTTCCTCCAAATTTTCCAGACTCTGCTCATTATCCAGTTCCAAAGCTGCTTCCACATTTCCAGGTATTTGTTATAAGCAACATCTTACTCGTTGCACCAGTTTACTCTACTATTAATTTTCCGTTGCTTATAACAGAATTCCTGAAACTGTATAATTTATAAATAAATGAAATTTATTTCCTACAGTTTTGAAGGCTGGGAATTTCAAAGTTTAAAGGCACATCTGATGAGGGCCTCCTTCTTTGTGGGGACCGTACCTAGTCATGTAGCAATGTAGGAGTTTACATGGTGAGGACTGAATGAGAGTATTCCCACATGCTCACTTGCTATCCTCATAAATCTCCCAGTCTACTTCCTGATAACCCATTAAACCATTAACCCATACTCCATGAATGGAATAATTCATTCATGAGAGCATAGTCCTCATGATCCAATCACCTGGTAAAGGCCCCGCTTTTTAAATACCATATTGGGGTATTCAAAATGAACTTAGAGGGACATTCAAATCACAGCACCATGATCAAGTGGGATTCATCCATGGAATGCAAGGATGGTTCAATAAATGCAAATCAATAAATGTGATTCATCACATTAGCAAAATATAGGATAAAAACCACAGGATCATCTCAAAAATTGGAGAAAAATCATTTGACCAAATTCAACACTATTTCATAATAAAAACTTTCAACAGAGTAGGTATTGAGGGAATGTACCTCAAGACAATAAAAGTCACATATGAGAAACACATAGCTAACATCATACTCAACAGTGAGAAGCTGAAAACTTTTCTTCTAAGACCAGGAACAAGACAAGCCCACTCTCACCACTTCTTTTCAACATAGTTCTGGAAGTCCTTGCCAGAGCAATGTGGTAAAAGGGAAAAATAAAAGGCATCCTAAAAGGAAGGAAATAAATAAAATTGTCTCTGCTGATAACATGATCTTATGCACAGAAAATCCTAAAGACTCCACCAAAAAACTGTTCAAACTAATAAATGAATTCAGTTGCAAATTATAATATTGATATACGAATGTCAGTACCATTTCTATAAACTAATAACAAGCCATACAAAAAGGAAATTAATAAAACAATGCCATTTACAATTGCAACAAAAAAGTAAAATACAAGTACTCAGGTGTAAATTTAATGAAGGAGGTGAAAAACTTGTACACAGAAGATATGACACTGGTGAAAAAACTGAAGAAAACATGAATAAATAGATATTTCATGTTCATGGATTAGAAGAATTAATATTATTAAAATGTGCATACTACCCAAAGTGATCTACAGATTCAATGCAATCCCTATCAAAATTCCAATGCATTTTTCACAGAAATAGAAAAAATAATCCTTAAGTTTGTATGGAACCACAAAAAACCCTGAATAGCCAAAACAATTTCTAGCAAACAGAACAAAGATGGAGGCATCACACTCTCTGATTTCAAAATATATCATAAAGCAATTGTAATCAAACACCATGGTATGGGATAACAGTATAGCATGGTACTGGCATAAAAACAGACTCATTGATGAATGGAACAGTGTAGAAAGCCCAGAAATAAACCAACACATTTACAGTCAATTGATTTTTGACAAAGGGACCAAGAACATACAATAGATAAAGGAGAGTCTATTCAAAAAATGGTAATGGGAAAACTCATTATTCACATAAGAATGAAATTAGATACTTACCATACACTATGCACAAAAATAAATTCAAAATGGATTAAAGACTTAAATGTGAGACCTGAAACTATAAAACCACTAGAAGAAAACATAGCAGAAAAGCTCCATGACATTTATCTGGGTAAGGATTTACCCAGGCAACAAAAGCAAGAATATGTAAATGGAATTGCATAAAATTAAAAACTTCTGCACAGCAAAGGATAAAATTAACAAAGTGAAGAGACAACCCATAAAGTGGGAAAACATATTTGCAAACCATACATCCAAGGGTTAATATACAAAATATATAAAGAACTCAAATACCACAAGAGCAAAAAAACACAAATAACCCTATTAAAAACAGGCATAGGACATGAACAGACATTTCTCAAAAGAAGACATACAAATGTCCAACAGGTTCTTGAAAGAAAATGCTCAGCATCACTAATCATTCAGGAAATAAAAATTAAAGCCACAATGAGATACCACTTCACATCAGTTAGATCAAAAAGATGAAAGATAACAAGGGTGGTGAGGATGAGAAGAGAAGGGAACGCTTGTACACTGCTGCAGGGTGGGGTATAAATTAGAACAGCCATTATGGAAAACAGTATGTAAATTCCTCAAAAAATTAAGAATAGAACTACCAATATGTCCAGTAATCGCCCTTCTGGGAATATACTTAAACGAATTGATTTCAATATGTGGAAAGGATATTTGCACTCCCATGTTCATTGCAGGGCTATTCACAATAGCCACGATATGGAATCAACCCAAGTGTCTGTCAATAGATAAGGGGATAAAGAAAATGTGGTATATACATACAATGGAATACTATTCAGTCTTAAAAAGGAATGAAATTCTGTCATTTGGGGTAACATGCATGAATCTAGAGGATGTTTTGCTAAATGAAATAAACCAGGCACAGAGGGACAGATACTATATGATCTCTCTTACATGTGGAATCTATAAAATGTTGAATTCTTAGAAGCAGAGAGTAGAATAATGGTTATCAGAAGCTGGGTGGGGGGACAGAAGGGGTAGCAAGGAAATGAGGAGTTGCTGGTAAAAGGGTACAGAGATTTAGCTAGACGAGAAGAATAACTTTTGAGATTTATTGAATGGCTCAGTGAGTATAGTCAATAATAATGTACTGTCTATTTCAAAATAACTAAGAGTAAATTTAAAATGTATCATGACAAAAAATGTAAAATGAGGTAAAGGATATGTTAATTAGCTTAGTTAATCATTTCACATTTTATACATATATCAAAATATCACATTGTACTTTATAAATGTAATACAATTCTGATTTGTCCTTTTTTAAAAAGATAAAGTGAAATCTAAGCTGGACAAGTGGAAGATGGAAGAAAGGAAAGGACTAAGGGACTGTGAGAAAGCAGAGGAGTCAGTGGACTATAGTTCTCTATGAAGTTGAAGAAAAATTGTATTTTACTCAGTCAGTCAATAAATATTTGCATCAAGCACTGTTTTAGGTGCTGGGAACATACCAGTAAATAAAATAGATTTTTAAAATAGCTTCCTTCATGAAGCTCACATTCTAGTGGGAAATCTGACAGTAAGCCAGGCAAATAAGAATATGGTGTATTGGATGGTGATAAGGGATAAAGAAGAAAATAAAACAGAGAAGGAACATGGGAATGTATGTGTTGGGAGTGAGGGTTGGTAGGTTGGGATGTGACATAAAGAGTGGATCCAGGTAAGCAAGAGTAGTTGAAAAGCGGGGGTTAAAAACTGGAAAGAGTAGTCAAATAGAAAGATGGGAATTAGTGTTTTTGGAGATGCGGCGTCTTTTGATGACAAGGCCCAAGGTATGACATTAAGAATAGGGTCTGATGTGGCCGAGGAGGGGTGTAGAAGATCACTGGAGATGAGCAGGTCTAGGAACTAAGAGTGTGGCATTTAAACAGGTCAATGCTAATCCTGCAGGGCTTGGGAGGGAGAGGAAACCTGCTTCCTCTGTCAATGTCATTAAAGAATGAGTGGAAGGCTGGGAGATGACAACTACATGGATGAGAGATGGTGATAAAGGGGAGTGACGTGGCCTTCAGAAGAGACGTTTCTCTATCTTTGGTTTTGATTTTGTTTAAGAAAATAAACAATATAGCAAAAAAGTAACTGTGTAAACCAGAAATAGGAAGTATCAGATTCTAACTTCCTAAATTGTAAAATAGGGATAATTATAGTACTGCTTCTGTCTCATCATATTAAACAAAATAATGTGTAAGAAGTGCTTAATTTTTGGTATGATATACATTAAACACTCAATACAATAATTTTTGTTATTGCAAATTATTAAATAAAACATAGCTCTTGGTGAAATGAGTCATTTTTTCTCCCAGGTAGAATATATGCCAAACTTAGAAATAGCTAATAGAAACTTCCCTTTTAAAGTTGACCTTGACTTTGGACTTACCTTACATGCATCTACTTTTCCTTCCATGAATCCAGCACATAACATTCCTGAAGTTACCAGGCCATCATACACATCCTTTCTGTTACATACATCAGTGCTTATGGTTTCCACCCTGGCTTGCCGAAGTTTATTTTGTGTAGGTCCTATTACACAAACCAACCAACAAACAAACAAGCAATGTGTTTTTCAAATACAACTACATCTAAGATATGAAAGATAAATAAATTGTATATTCCTAGGAGCAACATCACAAAGTTATTTTATTAACATTAGTTATAACCTAATTTTATTTCCCGTGTCATAAGTGTCTACATGCAAGGAACCAAAAATACTCAAGGATACCTCAAAAAGTTCATAGAATTAAAAGATAATATGAGCCTTTCCATGAACTTTCTGAAGTACTCTCATACATGCAGTTACTCCCTGGCATTCTGACAGTATTTTGTCCTTTCTTATGTCACCTAACACAGTCTGTCCTTTTCTTTTATATTAGACTCTCCCCTTTGTAACCATTGCTCCAGGGACCTAATTTTTTAAATTTTTTAACTCACCAACCCCTGTTCTGCCCAGGACACTACGCACATTGAAAGGATCACCATTATATTTATGAAAAGCTTAAGAGGAATTCCCTAAGACAGCTTGTTCCATTGCAGAACATTTTTGTGCTAAGAAAATTGAATTGAAACTACTCACCATCATCTACAATGGATCCAAATCCTGTGACAAATACGCTTGTTTTAGGTGGCAACCTGATAGACAAATCTGGGAGGCAAACTCTCTGGACTATATTTGAAAACTCAACTCGGGTTGTGAGCTGAGCCAAGGCAATGTCATTTTCATTTGTTTCTTTATGGTAATTTTCATGAAGTATAATTTTCCCCACACTTCGTTTCACAGCAGGCGGTGTTATAGTCGTACCAAAAGTGACAATCCATTGACTTGGGTCTTTATTTCTGTAAAAAATTGAAGAGTAAGATTTGTGATGCTGAATTTATCCTCTAAAAATGCTTGAGACTATTTCTCCCAGCTATTGGGATTATGCTCCTGAAACTTCCCTATGGTGAGAGAATTTGCAGTTGATCACTTTAAGGGAAAAAGAGTTCCTATAATTACCTCAATTTATTATGTGCAGCCAATTAATTAGTAGTATTAATTTCTAATTTTTAAACTCCTTACTTGTTAGGGCTCTTCAGGTTCTCTTTCTTTTCTAATTTCAATGAACAGTGTAGAAATTAATTTTTATTTGTTTTGGATAACATGCGTACTAAGAGGCATTTTCCTTTTATATCAAATTCTCCATCCATTCTTATTTTATGACTTTGTTGGACCTGGTTTACTGGGTTTTACTGTGCTCTTTGAGGCAAAGTGTAATTTGTCTGCTTTACAAACACAAACAGGGCTGTTTCTCCACCCTAAGCCCACACCCCTCCTTGATAAGCTCTAACTCAAAGTCATGTTCCTACCACCCTTTCCTCTGGCCTGGTCAGTCCCTCTTACCAGACTTGTGGCTCTCTCTTCACACAGATGCTTTTCTCTCCCACAATGCTATATCACAAGCAAATTCTATCTAGTCCTATCATCTCTTTACCTCCCTATTCTTCCCCAAAGTCCAGTTCCTTCTTTTTTTTAATTATCCCAATCAAGAAGTATTAGAAATATATAGAAACTTGAAATTCTCTGAGTAAAGTAAAATTATGTAGAAGATAATCACACACAGGAGAATTCAAAAAGGGGATTTCCTCTTTTATGAGGGAGTACTGTGTTGGTGAATCATCAGCTTTTCAGTGTAACGAAAAACCAGAAAGACCAGTGGTTTTCAAAATACTCTGCACTGCCCTAAGGATGAGCAGGCAGAGCTCAGGCAGGAGGGACAGGGTCCTGCTCTCATCATCTGTTTTACTTGTTTACACATTAAGGGAAGATTTAATTTGAAGCAGAAATCTTAGGACTGAAGGATTAATTTGAAAACTAGACACTAGAATTCTGGGTGATAAGAAGACATACATGTACGACTCTGGGCCTTACAGCACTCACAAATTAGCTGGCTAGACAAAATAGAATGATCCCATCTCTTCATGCATTGTCACCCAGAGAGGAAACCTCACATAACAGGCCCAACTCAATATGTTTTGTGGATAAGGACACAGACCCAGAAGTTTGACTTTTCCAGGCAAGTGACATACCCACCCTGTTAGTGTCAAAAAGAGATGGCCCAGGTCTCTTGACATCTTGTCAAGAAATTTTTTCCCACCCATACTATTTCATAAGTAGTGGGATCATTTTTTATGAACATAAAGATGCTAATATTTGTCTGAAACATGAGTTTTAGAAATACACTATTTCTGTAGAAAAAAATACATTTACAAATATTTAAAGATTATTTGGATATCAGCCATATTGTCTTCATAGTACCCTGTATTTTTCTTCACAATAGTATACCATACTGTGCAATTACATGAAATTATATCACCCACAAAACTAAACCCCTTTTCTTTAGGATCATCACCTTGCCCAGCTCTTTTGGATTATTATTATTAGAATGAAGTAGGCTACAATTGTTTCTCCCGTAGTTTTATAAATCCTTCCTTTGACTTCACAACCACCCTTTACTATCAAATTTCTCTGCTCCCTTTAATTTAAAATCTTCTTAAAAGTAGTTTTTAAACATATTGCATCTAATCATCCTCCTTCCGTTGTCTCTTGAATCCATTCCCATCCTCATTACACCACCAAAATTTCTCTTATCAAGGTCAACAGTGATTTCTATCTACTTTATTAAGCTCGATGGCCAATTCCAATGAAGGTCTGTCAGTACATAGACTGCGCTGGATGTGCTGAAACAAATATTTAAATCAGAACTATTATTCTTTATTAAATATTAAGTTGGCATTTTGAGTTTATTTATTTTTAGTTTACATAAATAGAGCTCAGTTATAAACTAAAGTGGATGACACTCTTACAAAAACAGAAGTACAAAGATTGCAGGACTGAAAAAATCAGAAAGCCTTAACAAGAGAATGGGACTCAAGTTCACCTCTAAGGCATGATGCTAATTATTTTGGAGTTGTAAATACATGCAAATAAGTTCTTTTTCTCCTCTGTGGTGAGAGAGTGATGGACAATCACCTTAAATTCATTAGGTCATTCTCATTACACTTCTGCCCCATAAAGAACAGTGTAAATATCTTGGAGCCATTTGAGTGTTACCCTTAGAAGGAAGATAAAGAGCCTCCTAGAATCACCAAGGATAGGCTCTTTTAGGAGGGTGCATAAGTATTGCCGCTGTCCAGGCAAAGGGGCTTCTATTTAGAGCTTTTGTTGAGAGTTTAAAAGGAAAAGCTTTCTGTAGCCTGAGGGTAAAACCTCAGGGAGGAAAAATGGTGTGTCTCTGATCTCCTGGGGCAAAAGGGTGCCTGTGTATATTTGTGTATGTGAACTGACACCGCTGAGTTTTAAGAGCTACAGCTGAAAGCCCAAGTAGAGAGCTCCTGCTGCGTTGTATATGGCCAGTCTTCAATACTGGGAAGTCAGGGAGACAAGGTAGCAGGTATCTCCCAATTTCCATATACCTCTCTGGACCATACAAGCCTGCGTGAGTTCTTGGACAATGCAATAAGAAAGAAGAACTTCAAGAGGGGTACTAATTATTTTTTTCTTATTTATAAAGTGATGGTGATATGATCGTGGGAGGTTAGAGAGATTAATTAGGAGGGAAAAAAAGCAGAACAGAAGTGGCCAACTTTCTTTTTGGGTATGTATAAGAGATTAAACTTGCTACAAGTGTAATAGTCTTAACACTAAAATAGCATATGATATAGTAGGAAAGATAATGCTAGGGTCATGAGGATACTAGGAAACATATAGAAAGAATTACTAATGATACAAACCAAATATCATAGATGGGGCATACAGCAAGCATAATGCATTGAAGGGACAGAGCAGGGTCCACCCTGAATGCATCAGAGGATAAATTGGTGAGATTAGACTCTTCCCATGCACAGAATCAATGGTGAGTGAGGACTGGGAATAGAAAGCTCACATCAGCCCCGATGAACCTACCTCCGGAAGCAGTGAGCTGCTGTGAGCAACCACGTGTTACTGATGAGACTGGCTCCGCACTGATGTCCTGCCCCTATAAGCTGAAGGCTGGCCTGCCATGGCCACTCCCCTTCCACAGCTGTTTCTCTTCCGTGGACAATCCTTTCAGTAGAAGATGATGCTGGTAATGGCATGTTTGAAAAAGTCATCCTTATCCCACAGCCTGTCACAGAAATACATGTTAGTTTGCTTTCATGAAAAGGGAGAAAAAAAGCATATCCTAATTTGCACAGGGAGGAGATGGTTAGATAATCCTTTGCCCCTGCTTCTCTTTAATCCATTCCTAGCACTCAGCCTTTCAGGTTATTTTATATGGGTCCTACTGATCCTACTGAGGTTTAAAAGAAATATTTACTAAAGAAACCAGATATAGGTAGATAAATGGATAGAGAGATAATTTATTGAGAATCCTCTGCTAAGTGTTTTAGATATATTTATAGCAACATGCCTTAGATGTGAAAACTAAGTCTTGGAGAGGGAACTTAAATTGCTGGAGGTCACACAGCTAGTCAGGGACAGAGTGGAATATAAAATTAGGAGTATCCACAACACAGCCAATAGTATCCATGAAGGTTAATTCTAGATGTCAACTCGGTTAGATGAAGGAATGCTGAGAAACCTGGTTAAGCAATCTTTTCAGGTGTGTCCATTAAGGTGTTTCCAGCAGAGATTAGTACAAGAGTCTGAGTGGCCTGGGTGTGAAAGACCCACCCTCAGTGTGGGTGGGAACCATCCAATCCACAGGGGGTCCGGAGAAAACAAAAGATAGAGGAAAGAAGTGAACCTCTCTCGATCTGCTGGAGCTGGGCCTGGGTGTGAAAGACCCACCCTCAGTGTGGGTGGGAACCATCCAATCCACAGGGGGTCCGGAGAAAACAAAAGATAGAGGAAAGAAGTGAACCTCTCTCGATCTGCTGGAGCTGGGATACACTCTTCTCTGCTGTCTGTGGACATTAGAGCTTGAGACTCTTCAGCTTTTGGGTTCCAGAAATTACACCCAAGACACCATCAGCTTCACTGGTTCTGAGGCCTTTGGACTTGGACTGAGCCACGCTACGGGCATCCCGTTTATAGACGGCCTATTGTGGGACTTTTCTTCATCGCCATGTGAGCTAATTCCCCTAATAAATCTCTCTCATATAATTATAATATATCCTATTGATTCTGTCTCTCTGGAGAACCCTGACTAATACAGATTTTGGTACCAGGAGTGGTTCTAGAGAAACAGAATCTTAAAGGTGAATTTCTTCCATTGGTTTCAGGGTGTTAGATCTAAAAATGCTACCAGCTCGACTTCTAATAATACGGAGAGCACTGATAATCCTTGGTGTGGTGAACTGTTAAAAGAGATATGCAAAATAAATCCATTTGATGGTCTTGATTCACTGCTTGTAAAAGGCAAGGGATTCAATGACTCTACAAGTAATACTTTTGAGTATTTGTGGAAACACGAGGACTATAATGACATTGCTGGTTGCTCCTCACAACACTGGATAAACTGAAGAAAGAAAAGGGGGAGCTCAGTGAAATGATTTCTTGCCTCAAGCACCACATAGAGGACCTAAAAGTTTCTAGGTGTGCTCTAGGCCAGAATCTTCTTTCCAGTACCCATGGGGCTGAAATTGCCGAGAATCAAACACAAGCCCTCATCATAGGAATGGCTGAACTACAGCGGCAGTTGAATTATCGGCCTCACAGAGTATCTACTGCTAAAGTGAGAGCATTAGTTGGGAAAGAATGGGATCCTGCAAGTTGGGATGGGGATGTGTGGGAGACCCTGATGAAGCTGGGGACATGGAACCCCTAAATTGCATTGAGGCTTGTTCACCAGAAATGAACTCCCAACCCTCATACCCAGAGACAGTGGCTTTTCCGCCTCTGCCTGAGGGGATTAATTCTGCATTGCCTAAGGAAACAGTAATGGCTTCCCCTGAAGCAGTGACTGAGCAAGACAATGCTGATTCTCCTTAGGACCCACCCCCACCTCCTGTCTTTGATTCTAGACCCATAACTAGACTCAAGGCCCAGCAGGTGCCTAAAGGTGAAGTACATAGTGTGACCCATGAGGAGGTACGTTACACTCCAAAAGAACTAAATTTCTGCTTCATACAAGCAATCATCCGTAGATAACTACTCTCCTTTTGGCCTGCTATTGGGCCTTAGTAGAAAATGGTGACTATGAGCCACCAAGTTACCATGGGACCTGAGCCGCCCATCATGAACTGGGTGTTATCTGACCCAGTAAGTCATAAGGTTGGGTGTGCACAGCAGCACTCCATCATCAAATGGAAATGGTATATACATGGTCGGGCCCAAGCAGGTCCTGAAGGCACAAGTAAGTTACATTAAGACGTGGCCCAAATGCCCGTGATTCCTACTCCTGCTGCACTGCCTTCTCTTCCCCAGCCTGCACCTACAGCCTCATGGGGAGTTCCCTATGATCAGTTGACAGAGGAAGACAAGGCTAGAGCCTGGTTTACAGATGGTTCTGCACAATATGCAGGCACCACCTGAAAGTGGACAGCTGTGCACTGCACCCCTTTTCTAGGACATCCCTGAAGGACAGTGGTGAGAGCAAATCTTGTCAATGGGCAGAACTTTGGGCAGTGCACTTGGTTGTGCACTTTGCCTGGAAGGAGAATGTCCAAATGTGTGATTAGATACTGATTCATGGGCTGTAGCCAATGGTTTGGTTGGATGGTCAGGGACATGGAAGGAACATGATTGGAAAATTGGTGAGAAAGAAATTTGGGGAAGAGGTATGTGGATGGACCTCTCAGAGTGGGCAAAGGATGTGAAGATATTTGTTTCCCATGTGAATGCCCATCAAATGGTGACCTCAGCAGAGGAGGACTTTAATAATCAGGTACACAGGATGACCCATTCGGTGGATACTAGTCAGCCTCTTTCTCCAGCCACCCCTGTCATTGCCCAGTGGGCTCATGAGCAAAGTGGCCATAGTGGCAGGGATGGAGGTTATGCATGGGGTCAGCAACATGGACTTCCACTCACCAAGGCTGATCTGGCTACAGTGACTGCTGAGTGCCCAATCCACCAGCATCAGAGACCAACACTGAGCCCCCAATATGGCACCATTCCCCAAGGTGATCAGCCAGCCACCTGGTGGCAGGTTGATTACATTGGACCACTTCCATCATGGAAGGGGAAGTGTTTTGTCCTTACTGGAATAAATACTTACTCTGGATATGGATTTGCCTTTCCAGCATGAAATGCCTCTGCCAAAACTACCATCCGTGGACTCACAGAATGCCTTATTCACCATCATGGCATTCCACACAGCATTGCTTCTGACCAAGGAACTCACTTCACAGCTAAAGAAGTGTGACAGTGGGCTCATGCTCATGGAATTCACTGGTCTTACCATGTTCCCCATCTTCCTGAAGCAGCTGGTCTGATAGAATGATGGAATGGCTTTTTGAAGTCACAGTTACAGTGCCAGCTTGGTGCCGATACCCTGCAGGGCTGGGGCAAAGTTCTCCAGCAGGCTGTATATGCTCTAAATCAGTGCCCAACATATGGTACTATCTCTCCCATAGCCAGGATTCACGGGTCCAGGAATCAAGGGGTGGAAATGGAAGTGGCACCACTAACCATTACCCCAAGGAACCCATTAGCAAAGCTTTATGCTCTGCTGGTCTAAATGTCTTAGTTCCAGGGGGAGGAATGCTTCCATCAGGAGACACAAAAATGATCCCATTGCACTGGAAGTTAAGGCTGCCACCCAGGCACTTTGGGCTCCTCATGCCTCTGAATCAACAGGCTGAGAAAGGAGTTACTGTGTTGGCTGGGGTGATTGACCCAGACCATCAAGGGGAAGTTGGACTACTACATCACAGTGGAGGTAAGGAAGATTATATCTGGAATACAGGAGATCCCTTAAGAAGTCTCTTAGTACTACCATGCCCTGTGATTAAGGTCAATGGAAAATTACAACAACCAGATCCAGGCAAGACTACAAATGGCCCAGCCTCTTCAGGGATGAAGGTTTGGGTCACTCCACCAGGTAAAGAACCACAACCCGCTGAGGTGCTCACTGAAGGCAAAGGGAACACAAAATGGGTAGTAGAAGAAGGTAGTTATAAATACCAGCTTCTACCATGTGACCAGTTACAAAAATGAGGATTGTAATTATTCTCCCTGTTGTGTTAAGAATACATCTCTATGGGGCCGGCCCAGTGGTGCACTCGGTAGAGTGCGGCGCTTGAGAGCACGGCGGCACTCCCACCGAGGGTTCGGATCCCATATAGAGACCGGTCCACTCACTGGTTGAGTGCGGTGAGGGCGCGACACCGAGGGTTGCGATCCCGTTCCCGGTCACAAAAAAAAAGACAAAAAGGAAAAAAAAAAAAAGATACATCTCTATGTATATAGACTGTACACATATTAAGCAATTATCTTTGTTTTTGTTCCTCTTGTTCTCTATCATGTACTATGAGACTTACTGACTTTATACCAGCATTTAAATGTTGTTAACCTTACTTCATAGTATTTGCAATTTTAAGTTATGGGATATTGGGAGAAGGGTAAATATCATTTAAGGACTTTATCTTTTTCTTCTTGGAAAGGGATTAATACATTTCCAGTTGTACACAGAATAATGTATCATGTTAGGCGAAACTATTATGTTATTGTACCATTTGAAAATTAAGTGTGATTTAAGGAGATAGTATGGACACCAAGTTGACAAGGGGTGGACTTGTGAAGGTTAATTCTAGATGTCAACTTGGTTAGATGAAGGAATGCTGAGAAACCTGGTAAAGCAATCTTTTCAGGTGTGTCAATGAGAGTGTTTCCAGCAGAGATTAGTGTGAGAGTCTGAGTGGACTGGGTGGGAAAGACCCGCCCTCAGTGTGGGTGGGAACCATCCAATCCATGGGGGGTCTGGAGAGAACAAAAAACAGAGAAAAGAGGTGAAGCGCTCTCTCGATCCACTGGAGCTGGGATACACTCTTCTCTCCTGTCTGTGGACATCAGAGCTTGAGACTCTTCAGCTTTTGGGTTCCAGAACTTACACCAAGGACACCATCAGCTTCCCTGGTTCTGAGGGCTTTGGACTTGGACTGAGCCATGCTACCAGCATCCAGTTTATAGACGGCCTATCATGGGACTTTTCTTCATAGCCACGTGAGCTAATTCCCCTAATAAATCCCTCTCATATAATTATAACATACCCTATTGATTCTGTCTCTGTGGAGAACCCTGACTAATACAGTATCCTAACTACTGAGAGAGAGCCCAATACTGAATATACGTCATAATTTGCCCTTGCTATGACTAAGGAGAATCAACTTATTGTCTTTGCAAAGCCCTGCATTTTAATAGTCTTACAATAATGACATTTTCTAGTCTTCTAAAATTTAAAAGACCAGTTAAAACAAATTCTTATTCCCTGATATTAAAGCCTCAATTGATTAGACTTCAAATCAACCTTAAAAAATACTTGAAAGTGTCCATGCACAATTTTTTAATGGGCATATATATGTCTGCAAAAGACCTTAAATATGTGCCAATGCTGGGATGTGGGGGACAAAGCAGGAGGGGACAGATAATGTATATATCAGATATTTCAATAAAAATGCAAGAAAACTGAAAAATGTTAACCAAAAAAAAAGCCTAACCATTCACCAGTTTAAAATACTCTTGAATTGTGAGAGAATATTATAAGAAAAATATCTAAAGAGAACATTTATATAATATCTAAAATACTATGTAATTTTTAAAATATCCCATAAGTCATAAACTTAAAATTATATTGGTATACATTTATACATTTAAATATTTTAAATATTAAAAATAATAAAAATAAAATAACAAGTGATTTACAAAAATATTAAATGAGCAAAAAAATGCTTGATGAATTGTACTTCTAACATTTCTTCAGCTTTTATTCATTATCTTTATTGTGAAATAAACAGTTAACTGTGGATTTTGGAACTTACGACTGTTGAGAAGGTTCCTCATCCTTTTGCTGTCAATAGCTGAAATAAGCAAATTATGAATTAGTTGGGAGAAGAATATATTCCAATTTTTATGTTATTTTTTGTAAATGGTCATTCATAGAAATGCTAATTATCCAAAACATCTATATTTCATGAGGGCATGAGATTTTTCATTACTAAGTAATATATAAATAACCTTCTACTCTGATTTGATTTTTGGTCCAAACTTTAAAATAAAATCAGAGAGCATTTTATTTCTGATTTTGCTTAGGAAACTGAAAAAAGAAATTGGGATATTTAGGAAAGAATAAATAAGGATGAATGTCCCTGGCTGCTTTCTTTGGGGGCTCCAGTATAATTTGAGGAGGCGACCTCCAATTTCCATCACAATTGGTGTTTACCAGCCTAGGTGGTTTAGACATATTTCCAATGGCCAGTGTTGAAAGGGCAGTTCCACCAAGCTACAGGCATCACAGATTCCTCAGAGCCAAACTTCAACGGTTTGGTCTAAGAAAGAGTAGGAATTCAGTCAAAGCAAGTTGATGACCTGCTCTCACTGAGGATTCTCCCTCATGGTGAATACTCTGGAAGGCTGTGGCTCAGGCAGCAGGCACTAGGGTCATGATGCTCTTTCACATATGTCGGGGCTTAGAAAACAATTCCCCAAAATATGGCACTTTGACTGCTGGCCTTTTTTCTTCACTCTCTCCTGTCTTTCAACACCTTGTTTCTCACAAAGCCCAAGATGAAGTTTTCCTCGCATACTCCCTCATCTGCATAAGGACTTGACCCACCAACAAGAACACAACTGCCTTCCACCTGCTCCCTGAAATCTCATTATCAATTGCAGAAAAGAAGACAGAAATGTAATTATACCTGAATGGACATTTTCTACAGATAATGTCTGCCTCCAAGGTCCATTTATTCCCCCTAAAAATAATTTCCTTTATACCCTGCATCTGCCTTCTCCTATGAAGAAAGGTATAAATATCTGCACCTCATTAGGTTATTGGGTAATCACTCTGCAATTTCCCCATGTTATACAGGTTAAAATAAATTTGTATGTCTTTTTTCTCTTATCGATCTGCTTTTTGTCAGTTCATTTTCAGTGAACCTTCAGAGGGTGAAGAACAGGTCTTCCCTCTTGCGCTAAATACACACGCGTCCAGAGACCCCACCCACACACACACTCTCACTCCACATTGTGCTTCTTTTCTGTAACATCTTTTTCCTTTCAATTTATTCATTTGTGTTCATTTTAACTCAGCTACATTGGATTTTTGTTGGCTTGATGATCATTTGTCTTGTTTATTTGTCAGAGAGAAATGGAGAATTTTACAGTGATATAATCGGGATCATTGACTTCCCCCAAAGAGGGATGTGAGCCCAAATCCCTACTATATGTTTCCTGGATATTTCCCTTTATTTAATAAAGACAGAATATGGCAGAAGAAAATATATGCAGTTGAATTTTCATTATCAAGCATGGTTCTAGAATATAGTTGTTAAGGTATTAAAACACTCTGTACAATAAAAAGTCATTGTACATGACCAACAAGGCCAAAAAATTATTTTTAAAACTTGTAAAATAAGAAATGCTACAACTTTAACAACTCAGTAAAAATAATGTAATGCTACTTTTATGATGTATATTTTACTTTAGGGTCTATGGTCATGGCTTAGGGACAGTTATATATTATTAGGAACTGAGATTTAATTTGAGATTTATAGAAAGCTAAAAAAATCATGTTTTACTTTGGAATATAACTGATTAACAATCAAGGTGAATGCCACACTCTTTATTATTTCTAATTACTTCATGAAAAAGTTATCACTCATATTTGTGGAGATTCTATCTCAAAATGTATTTAAAGGATTTTCCTGATTTCTAACAACAGAGAAATTAAATTTAGACAATCTATTTCTTAAATTCATGGCTATTGGGAGGGGATAAGACTTTGGGGTCTAAAGGCAAAATCACTCCTCCTTCCCCCAAGCCTTTTTTTGTATTAAATCAGAGCTAACTAAACTTGGAAATACATAACGAGAAGTAATGTTCAGAGCTGGAATATCTATTGCATGTGAGATGTATCCTAGAGTTTGAGGGAGGGATAAGAAAATAAAAAGACACAGTTCCTGTCCTTGAAACTTAAGGACAGGAGCTGTATCTTTTTATTTTTATGGTTTCTTATTTTACAAGTTTTAAAAATAATTTTTTGGCCTTGTTGGTCATGTACAATGACTTTTTACTATACAGTGTTTTAATACCAAAACAACTATATTCTATGCCCATGTTTGATAACGAAAATTCAAAATCATATTTGAAACACATTCTTTTACTTCCTCTAATTATGTATTGACATAGAAAAGTAGAAATGCCTCTCAGCCTGTATCCCATGAGCTATAAGCTAGTTTTAATTTTAGTTTCATAAACTTTTTGAAATTAGTTTTCTTCCATTTCAGAGGAAAAATGAAACAAGAACTTTCCTGATTTTGTTTTGTGAGGAATAAATAAGAAAATGAATGAAAAATAGTTTTAGATTAGAAATAAGCTAGAGAACCTCTTTATAGTTCATGTCCTTGGTTCTTCCTACAGGGATAAACCTTCATAAAGACATCTGTTTCTTTGATACTATGAAAACTAACTCCCAGAATTGACCTTAGAGACCTCTGTGAGTCGCCATACCTGTGTCTAATTCTAGCACCAAGATTTGCTAATCCCATGTCTCAAATCTTCCTTCACTTTCCTGTAAAATGGTGAAAATAACAACTACTCTTTGGTGCTTTTGAAAGGATCCAACATCATACTACAAGGCAAAAAATCTAGAAACCTTATCAAAAGCCCTAGTAAAATGTTAAAAAAAAAAAAAAAAAAAAAAAAAAAAAAAAAAAAAAAAAAAAA